GCGGGTGCGGTGTGCGCGTGATGAGTGGCTTCGCGCGTAAGAAACCAGCGCTGCAGCTTGCGGGGAGAGCGGGCGACAGAGCGGCTGATGACCGGATGCTAGTGAGACGCCGCACGTCATGAGACGAGACGCAGCGGGAGAGAAATAATACACCGCGAGCGAGCAGTGAAGATGTCGCGGTGAAGGGCATGCGTGCTGAGGAGATGCGGATGCGGGCGTGTGTGGGGTGTGGGCTGCAGACTGACCTGACTGGAGAAGACTGTGGGAGGGCGCAGGCGCGGCTGCACGAGCTCGGAGTGAGGGGGACATTGCAAGCCTGACATGCGTTCGCTCGCGTGAAGGCGGGCGGCGGGAGCGCGAGCGTTGAGAGATCTGTGAGGCGCGGTCGTCAGATGCAGCGTCCGCGGCAGAACGAAAGCGTCGAGGGCGCGCGGTCGGGACACAACAGCGCGATGTACCGTACACCAGCTGTTTGCGCACAGTTTTGACCAGACAACGACGGGACGCGCGCGCGTCCGCAGCGCGCGACGAGGGACCAGCTAGCCGGGCGAAGAGTGAATGCGAGGCTGGGTCCATGGACGCCTAGTCGGTAAGATCCAAAGATGAGAGCTGAGAGTGGGCGCGCAGAGAGACGGGTGCGCACACAAGAGCGGGTGAGGCCGGTAAGGTTCGCGCAGCACAGAGACGGCGCGAGCGCGCGAACAGGCACGGGCGGCCATACCGCGCGTCGATGAAGCGTTCCTGCGTCGCACAGGCCAGCGGGTGAGCGGGTTCGGCGGCCGCGTCACAGCCAGCGCGTGAGCGGGAAGCGCATGAGGCGAGCGACGCATGTGAACGTGTGCTTCCACGGCTGCTCGACGTCTCGCGCACTGACCTACCGCACCGGCACGCCACCCTTTGCGCGCGCCGAGAACCACAACGTGCGCTCACCTAGCCGTGCGAGTCCGGGGCCGACTTGATCAACCTGGCCCGCGGCCCGTCAGAGGAGCCGTGTCTGGACACAGCGTGGACACTCACAGCATCGGCGGCAGGTCGTCCAGCTACGTGTTCCCCGCCCGGCGTCAGCGCGGCTACGTCCTCGGCCCCGCGCAGGCCTCGGCCGCGTGCAAGAGGGCGGGACGCACCAGTTGCCGGGGAGCTCGACGGGCTCTGCGGGCTTCCCGCGCACGGGCGGCTTCATCCAGATGTGCGCCTGCGCGCTGCACTCGATCTTTGTACCTGCGACCTGGTCGCGCAAGGCGTACGCCTGCGAGTGGCGCCGCACGTGCGTGCGCGAGGGTGCGGGAACGAAGAGAGGACGGGGAGAGGCGCACGCGCGAGGTCAGCGGGCGAGGAGCGGGCGCGGGCGCGGAGGACATGGCGCGGCGCACCATACGCGTAGTCGGTAGGAGCCAAAGGTGAATATCTTGCCGCCCGCAGCTTCTGTGCAGCCTGAGACGAACCATGCTTGGCCGCGATGCGCGTGCAGCGCAAGTGAGCATTCAAGTTATTTTGTACATAGCGTGAGCGTGAGGGGACTGCGTCATGGTGGAGTCGCGCAGCGTGAGAGGCGGCGCCGTGCCATTCGAGCTCAGGTGTCTGCGTAGGCGCGATCGACGACCGGACGCCGGTGGGAGACGAGACGCACACCGCGAGGGAGAGAGCAGCGAGCAGTGACGTCGATCGAGGCGACGCCGATCGAGGCAAGGCGCGAAGTAGCACTGCGCTCGGATGAGCTCGGTGCCTAGGCGATCGCACGACATCTGCTCATTCGCACGGCGATGCCGGTCGAGTCCGCACCAGTAGCCTGGCGCAGACATCCTCGTGCTGTAGACCAAGGAGGACCCTGGAGGACCCCGGTATGACCACAGATGATGCGGAGATCTGATCTGTCACTATCCATCTGCTAAGTATAAGAGCACCAGTGCAATCATTTCCCCTCCTTCATCGCCCTGTCTCGCCGCGCAACCATCCAACTACTGGCTGACAACAACAATGGCCTCCGCTATCCCGCCAACACCTCTCTCGCCCAGCGTCGGCGCACGTCGCAAGGGCGCAAAGGCACTGCCTCGTCTGCCGCTCTCCGCATTTACCCCACCCAACACCGGATCGTCCGAGGCATTCCCGCTGCCCCCCAGCCCAAGCACACTGCAGCCAGAAGAGCTTGTCGACGCGTACGTGATCGCCCCGGATGGCGACTTGAGCGAGTGGAAGGCGCAAGCGGGCGAGACCCTGCGCCGCAAGACCAAGGGCGTCGTGCTGGCTCTGCCCCAAAAGGAGCCGGCTGAAGTCGAGAAGATCCTGGCAAAGTACGTCGTCCCCGATGCCTATACCCGCCGATCAACTTGTTCGTGCCGTCCTGATCATCTGCCCGTAGTATCCGATCAGGATCACTCGATGTCCCTGTTGTAGCTGTGCTTGTGCCCGTCATTCCCGCGGAGGGCGAGGCGACGTTCACGCCCCCTGCCTACCTCGAATCGCCGGGCAGCTCGACGCCGGCACTCGTCCCCTCTGCCATCTTCACGAAGAACGAGCCGCGGGTCCGGGAGGCACTGCAGTGGGCGCTGAAGACTGGGCACACCGTCCACATAGATGTCCAATGCGATATACGCGAGGTCGAGGGTGGCTGGGACGCACTGGAAGAGATGCTGACGAGCATGACCATCTCCAAGGACGTCAAGGAGCTCCATGGAAAGATTGTCGTGTGTACGTATTCGCGTGTTCTGTGCTGGACATCC